ACTCCTTCACAGGCAAACACAAGCACGCTGTAGTTGGGAATCAATTGCACGCAAGACGGTGGCTGGACAGTAGTCCGCTCCAAACTGAGTGCGTGGAACAAATCTTCGAGCCCAGCACGGCCACGAGGACGGTGCACCCCGTCCCCTCCAGCAACGTCCAACTGCCTCCTGGAACCAGATGGACGAGGTAGTGGGTGAAAGACAGGTAGACACCTTCTCAACATGCACATCAAGCACAGTCACACCTGGGATGTCAAGCAACAGGCAATCATTCGAAATTCCGACGTCGAATAAAGGAAACGCATATGACGACTACATATTCGCTCAATGAGCATTGGAGAAATTAGTTATAAGTAAATCCGCAATACGTACAAAACGACCGAAAATTATTTGATAAGTACCACGCGAAAAAATTACGCAAGTTTTCCACAATTTGCATGAGCGACGTTTGCAAGTTGGGAGAAGATTATCAAGTACGCAGAACAACCAAATAAATCAGAATAAATTTTATCCACATTAAAACAACTAGTTTAAGTGTAAGTTGTTTTAGCCCAACTGTAGTGAGGATGCATCATTAATGCAACATCAGCCTCAGCATGGGACACATTTATTATATACCTTTAGATATATATGCACGTATATATATATATATATATATTTAACAGAGAAATACCGATGGCACTTTTAATTTTACCCAAAATCTTTTATGTGGGACACATCAATGGGCATGTGTGATAACGCGGTCTGCTAACTCATTGCCACTCGAGTCAGGCATCGACATTTTTAGCCTCAAGGCTACTTGCTGAGCGCGCTAGAGACGTGATCGTAATTTTTCTACAAGTCGTGATCCTTGTCTTTGCAGGTTCAGTTTGCGTTACGACCAGTCGCCATCGTCCTCCACTTTTGCGACCTCACAGACTCGTCATTTATTACTGCAGTGTAGCGGTTCCTACAAGATTTCATCAAATATAATTTAGTTAGAGGAGAAGTATAAAATGTATGGTACCAGATCTGCCCAAAAGGTGACAGTAAACAGGAATTCATAGCAGTTTAAGATGGAAGTGTTTTGCCAACACCGCTGCACTGTTTGTTTTCGAGTTTCCGTAAATATTAACTTTGAAAGCGGCGTGCACGTTTCCAGATAGGAAGTCAGAGACGGCACCATTCTGGTTGCCCTGCAATAGTTCTACTCTCCGCGTTGTTTCACAGACAAGTGGATGAAATCTTGCAAGAATGGGTTCTTTGTTATTATTAGCAATATTAATATTATTCTTATTCTTAGCATTATCATTACAATATTTCTCCCCAGCTGTCCATTTAATACCCATTTTATTCGTCACGGAACTACTGAACGGCATAGAGTCACGATGGGTAGAAGAGCGCTTTACTAATTACTTGCCACTACTGTGTGAAAAGGTGCTCTGGTGTCTTTTTGGGAATAACCTGAACGCGTTTACTTCGAGCTACGACGTTTTACTAGTCGTGCACTGGTGTATCTTACTACTGATCATATTGAGGTGACTACCATTCGGCGTCCATCAGATTGCTTCTCCACATCTTAAAATGTTTAGCAAAAGGTGGGAAACTCAAAGTGACAAATAAAGTAAGATCACTATAGACCAAACGCTTGGGTAAAAGGCGACTTCCTCAAAATCTGTAGCCATGTTGAAACCAATGGAATCTCAGCTAGATAGTGTTGGTATTCGTGCGAAACTTCGGTCGGAGCACTAAAACAATTTTTCTGACTTTTGATGCCTAAATCATGAAATAAGTAACAGTATATCTCTGAGCACTGCTTGGCGGCTGTAGGCGAAAATCCGCATTGGCAATGGTCGCAGTTTGTTGAAAGTAGGTAGCAATGTGATCTATAGGTGATGGCCGAAAACCGTCGGGCATATGTTGGACATCGACATCTAGTTATAGCTCATTGCTAGGGAAACCCTATAAAATTTTCCTTTAATTTCTTTCTATATGAGAGTCTAAAGTTAACGAGCTAGCCTTGTAATCTTGCGACGCGGGTTCAGGCATGCATACGGGCAGGATGTCGCTCGCAGTATTCTTAGCCCACATGCGACCGGTTGTATTCGTGCGGCAGCGTAGAGTCCATAGGACGTACCGGCTTATTGGATTTGATTTCCTTCTTTCCTTTCGTTGTATGAGGGAAAATAACTAATCCGTTCAATGGATGGTTAAGTCTTAATATAAGTTTTACATCGTGGTTTATCCACAAGCCAATTGTAAACACCTAACTTGCAGTTACGCAAGGAGATATATTCTGGTGCATCGTCAATGGAAAACCTTACTATTTTAAATACATAACCAGCCCTTTCGTGAAATCACTAAATGAAATAAACATCCCAACGCGCAACCAGCCAAATGAACTAATCTTTTGCTTCAATAAGGCGGATTCGCTATATCAAACGCAACACAAACTTGATTCATTGGAACTTTGGCTGTAAGCTGTCTTTAATTCATGTTAGATGGGTGACAGCACTCACCTATAAAACAACTACTAATCTGAAATTGTCGCATCAGGTCCATCTTAAAACAATCTCAGTTTTGACCATTACTAAATTCAAAAATAGGAACAGCCTACGGCTTGTGGTTTTTCCGTTAGCTTGAATAATTTTGACCGCCATATAACTTTGAATCAGTATAATGTATGCAGGAATAAAGGGAAGATGAATTCTTTTAGAAATGCACTTAATATACTAATAGGAGGGTTCATGTTTTTGTTATTGTATGTTAACGAGTCAAGGGATTAATCGTAAAGCTCCATGATCAGGCTTGTCCATCTTTAGTTGCCCAAATCATACGAAACTCAGGTCCCATCGCATTTAGTGTGAATACATGGTATATCTTGCTGTGGATCTTACCTAAAGGCATTCTTTGCAGCAGTGGGAACACAGTTCATTTGAATTAATAGACCGCATGATAGCCAATTCTTTACATGCCCTGCCGGATGCTACCCAACGTCTGTTTGCATAAAGTTAACCATGCACATGGAGTGTTTGGAAGTTTACATTAAAGTTGACATAAAATGTAGGAACTATATGCTGAACTGTATTCTGCTGAATTCAACCGAATGTAATGAAAACATTAGGTCTTCAGGTGCCTAGAGATGTGCAGATTGCATCTGGCCCAAATAATATAGGACAGATGTTGCAAGTTCACCCGATTCCAACACAACATTTGTTTTACTCGAAAATGTCAAACTTAAAGCCCCACTTGCAGGTGAAGAAAAAATACCTGTGTATCGCCTAATTCTAATCTCTTTTGCATGCTTTTACTATTATATTGGCTATGCAGACTTGCCAATTCGCAACTTCTAGTGGTCTTGAAAGGCTAATGTAACCCTTGGCAAACGTAAAACCGGTTGTTGCTGACTTTTGTTAAAACCTCTCACACCTACCAATATGATGACATCCTACACTATCATGAGACAGGCTACTGGTTTAATTATGCCCTTGTGGAATCGATCACTCAGTTTTAGCTTTACTATATTTTTCGTTGGGTTTCCTTTTGCTTCTTCATCGTTGGTCAAGAATGGGCTGGTCTTCTGAGGTGACAGAATTAAGCTTCCAACCTAAGTGTTTACCCACGAAAGACAAGGAGCATTGAAAACCACCAGATGAAAATATAAAGGACGCTGCAAAAACAGGAAATTTTGAACTATAGATTTTCCACCGAATGACATAAACCGACAAACCTCGGTGAATTCGATCATGACTGAACGTAACACATCGTCTAGTAAATGACACGTTCGCTGGCATCCGTTTGACTAAAGAAGAGGAGAGCCATTGTCAGCTATCAGTTTTTGATTTCTTAATAAAAAGACAAACTGCTGGACAACTGGAGACAACACTTTATCGGAAAGCAACGCTTACAGAACATATCCTGAAATATCGCAGCAATAATCCAACAGTCTGCTGGCGCACTTGCGTATCAACGCTATGTAAAAAAGCTCAGACACACTGCAGGATCACGCAGCTGTGAAAAGCGGAGGAAGTTGATCTGTTCAACACGTTTACACGAAATGTTTATCCTAGGAATTTCGTTATACCTTTTTTACCATCAATAAAACGACCGACGCATAGAGAAACAGAAACGGCTAAAAGGACAATCATTATACCATACATCAACGTCTTCTCTGAGATGGCAGCGAGAGTGTTATTGAATACTGAATACTGAATACTGTATTATAGAGCAAGTAGAAATGGATTCTGTACAACTCTTTCGAGATATGGCGAAAAACGTTATAAAAGTTGTCAACCTTGAATATCATTGTCGTTCTCATGTAATATTTAAAATATTCGACACGATATTTCAGGATTCACAAATGTGATATGTCATCGTAAGTGTGCAGTCGTTCTCTGAATCGAATAGAGGCAAAATGCAAATCTAACAACGTTTTGAACTGTTGCACAGATGTTGCCTCAATCACATGTTCGGGCAAACTATTCCAAATGTTTACCACTCTCCGTTCGAAGCACAGGGGGTGGGGAACACGTTTCATATCCGGCACAACAAGTTTGTATCTGTGTCCGCGTGTGCTGCATGGCCCTCGTAAGTGCAGCATTGACCTTAACATAGGGAACTCACCGATATGTAGAATTCGGTAGGTCATAATGAGGTCGACTCGCACCCGACGGTAGGACAAGGTGTAGAGTCCTAGTTTCTCGCACCGGTCTTCATACCCAAAGCCACGTAAACTCGGGATGAGCCTGGTAGCAACGTGTTGGACCCAATCGATCTTTTGTGCCTCGCCTCGGGTAATCGGAAAGTAGGCGGGCGAACCCTACTCTAGCATTGGTCTAATGATAGAAGAGAACAGGCGAGTGGCAACCTCTTTAGACCATGTGCAGAAGCTACGTTTGAGCGCCCAAAGCATGCGCAGTCCGTTCCGATATAGCCTGTTTGTGTTGTCCACGGACTTCAAATCGTAGCGTGAGAGTACACCTAGGTCCTTCACGGAGGGTGTGGGATATAGCGTTTGGCCGTCAAGGTTGGCCGTCTGCACCCTTCCCCAGGCTCATAAATACCGACTTGGCTGGGTTGACCGGGAGAAGAACTTCTGCAGACCATGTAGATAGGCGGTTGAGATCTTGCTGAAGTAGGCCACAGTCGTCGGGAGCGTCGATTTCTCTCCAAATCTTCATGTCGTCCGCAAACAAGGCACACGGCGACCGGAGACGCTGCGGTAGATCGTTGATGTGGATCAGGAACAAAGTGGGCCCCAGCACAGTGCCTTGAGGCACGCCACTTGTAGAGGGGTACCAGTCAGTTAGATGGTCGTCGACTTGTATCCTCCACTTTCGTCCAACAAGAAAGTCGCTGATCCACCGGTGCAGTGAGCCACCGACGCCACACATGCTGAGTTTGTGAAGGAGAACCTCATGACTGACCTTGTCGAACGCTTTACTGAAATCGATGAATATCACGTCGACGGACTTCCCCTTGTTTATTGCCTTCAACCACTCAGGCCTCGTCACAAGCAGGTTAGTAATGCATGAGCGACCTTGCATAAAACCGTGCTGTGCGGGCGTCAGGACCTCGTTTGACTGTAGCAACTGCAGCAATCTCTTCTTCACGATTTTCTCAGCAACCTTTGCCAATATAGGTGTCAGACAAATTGGCCTGTAATTGTCTACTTTGCTAGGGTCGCCGCCTTTCGGAATAGGCTTCACCACCGCACATTTCCAGTCAACCGACAACAAACCTTCGGAGAGCGACCTGTTGAAAAGGTCAGTCACGATAGGAGAGAGGATGGTCGGAAGTGACTTGAGAACCAGTGGGTGAAGCCCATCAGGTCCTGCAGGTTTGGTGCCGTCAAGGTTGGCGAGTAGTTGAGCAAACTCTTCGACGCCACAATGCAGACTATCGAGTTCGGTAAAAGCGGTACACGTCGAACTCGGAACAGACACCTGGTTATTCGCAAATACAGAAGCGAAGTGCGCCGCCAACGCGGACGCACGCTCAGTGCTGGAGGTTAGGGGCTGTCCATCCGTGCCATCCAGCACTGGCACATCAGCCGCCGGCTTCAGGCGTCGCTTCACGTATGCAAAGATTCTCTTGGGGGCGGTCTTCGCGGCTAATGCGAGCTGCTCTTCAAAGTGTCGGCGTTAACTCTTTTTTGCACTGTTGCAGAGATTCCGCTGACATTTATACCCTTCGTAATCATAGGCAGAGCCAGAGAGAAGGAATTTGTCCCACATTCTGCGCCGCCTCCGAGCCAGGTTTCTATACTCCTTGTCAAACCAATGAGGCTTAATCGGTCCAACCTTTCGGCATTTCAATGGCACAAATTTGGAACACAATGATGTCAATATCGCTTTTATAAATATCCAACAATCTTCCACAGATGCAGTTTGTGACAAAGACCAATCCAGTTGGCTCGCGGTTCGAGCAAGACCATCGAAGTCGGTTTTCCAGTAGTTGGGAGCTGATTGCAGCGGATGTGAATACGGCAAAGGTAATTCCATATCAGCTATCAGTACTGAGTGGTCGCTCGTCGCCAGGGGCTCCAGAATCCTAACGTCACGCACTAGTTGTTTGTAGCTCGTTAACATCAGGTCGAGACAGGACGAGGTTGAACTTGTTGATATGCGTGTTGGCTGGCCTATGTGTTGCGATGCACCAGTTTCAAGTACCAAATCCACGAACTTTGCTTCAACCTCACCATATCCAGGCATCAAATGCACATCAGGCCATCGTATTCGAGGACAGTTAAAATCGCCCATAAGCAGAAAATGTGGACGACTCATGTGGGTCCGAAGATGGGGCAGCCAATCCAAACAACGACTCAGGGGACTGCGATAAATTGCGTCTACAATCAGTTCTCCTCATTTGAGGCGGATGGAGCACCAGAGTGGCTCACACAGACTATCGTCACTTCGGTAGGTGCTCACAAGTCTCCCACGCAGGGAAGACCGGATGTAAAGTAAGACACCACAGCGGGCATTCTTTAGTCTATCGCATCGGAAACACGAGTAACCGTTGAGTTCAAGTTCTTGGGTGCATAACTCTGCATGCAGTCATGTCTCTGTGAGTCCCACTACGTCTGGCCGCTCAGACGCAACGAAACAACAAAGCTCATCGCGCTTATTCATAATACTGCAAACGTTTGTGAAGGCTACTCGCAGGCCGCAGCAGGAGCCACCGGGCGTGCTTGAAGTGTGAGTAGCCTGTTTATCCTGATTCGCGGATTGTTGGAAACCACCCGAAAATTTACGATACGAAGATTTGTTTCCCCCTCACCAGTGCGTCTTTTCAACTCAATGATGGCAGACTTGAGCCGCTCCCTGTCTACTGGGTCCAGGTCGGGACGAACATGGATCTTCAAACCTTTCAGCCTACTTAGGCGAGACATGATAATTCTTGGACTGGCTTCGTCCACAAAAGTGATTCTCATAGGCCGATTTTGTTGATCACCTTGCTTTCCAAGACGGGTAATCTGCCTCACTTTTACCGAGTCCTCACCAGCGTCGAAGAGTCTATCAATTAGACCCTGTAAAAACTCGACATCGTGATCGTAGCGCACTTGGGGTGATAGATCACTGGACTCCGGTGCGTGAAAGATCACGAGATTATAACGCCTCTGGTCGGACGAGGTTGGCCTTGCAGGGCGAAGTATACTACCAACCTCAAGTGGTTTGGCTAACTGTTGACTTACAGAACGTAAACGCCCAACATTCCTTCGTAATTTCGTCCTCTGATCTTTCCACTGATCTTCAGCACTCAGACTTTCACCTGCTGGGACATCAGTGTCGGGTGGACACAACAAAGGTAAACAATTTAGCCCAGGTGCAACTGGGCTTCTCACAACGGTTGGACTTCGTGTCAGTGAGTTTGCACGGGTAGAGGAGGACGACTGAGCCGAAACCTGAAGGCTCTTCGCGCTAGGTTGTTGGGCAAAACACACGGAGCTGTTCACAACGAAACGCTGAGGACTACACGTCGGCTTTACTCTTTCTGGCTGGATCTGATTTCGGCAATTTTCACATATAGTTTGGACGAAATCGTGTTGGATCTCGCGAAGGCGATGAAAATGCTCAACTGATAATCCAACACATGAAATATGGTATTTAACTTGGCAAAATGCACACGTGAGGGCATTTGCACGGTATCCGACTAGTTTGGAGCAAGTACCACAGGATGACTGCTTCGGCATTGCGAATAATCCGAAAACAAGATGGCGGCCAATTGACGAAGAAAGTGGCGATAGCAAGATGGCCGGAACCAAACGATGAAATACAAGTATTCCTGGTCGGAAATTTCAGAATCGGAAATGAAACTGAATTGTAGCTCAATTTCCACGAAATACTTCCAATGAACGCAGAAAGTTAACACAAAGTGATCATGTCAACACAGCCAAAAATAACCGACCGGAGGACGGAATCAAGGCTGCTCACAAGCCGACATAGGCTATTGGAGACAAGTTTTTCAGCCATGAGAACCTGCTTGACAAGAAAATAAACAAGTGGTTTGATATACAAAATCCACTGCAAAGATGGTAACTACTAGTATCTGGGCCAGACAGGAAGGAAGCTCGGAACTGGGCTACTTGAGCTTAGCCTAGTCATCCGCCGACATGACCTGAACTCCCTGATACCGGTACATATGGACGCTGAGTACAATTGTTTGATTTAAAGAATGTCAGGATCATAGGCAGGGCAAAAGGTAGAAAAGCACGCGAATTAATGAAGGTTTGCTACCCAGGGAAGAAGTAAATCAACATACGCTTAGATCTAGACATTACCTACGAAGCGTTGAGGGTCAAATCAATACTCGGCCCCAGATCAACAAGGCAAAGGAACCTCATGTTTGGGGACTTGAGCCAACAGTGCGCAAGAACTTATTACACGATCAGCTGACGTAGATCAATCAACTCCTGACGTTCGAATCAGTAAGTGATCAATAATCACTTGGGTCTGTAAGTGACCTGCATAAATTACACTGATAATGTCGCCTAGCTTGACGATGAAACGTCTACAGCCAAATCAGCCGTCTCGGAGAATACCCTCACAGCCTAATCCGCATCCCGAGCTACAAATATTCTCACGGATTTATACACAATTATTGTCTCATTTACATCAACCATTAATTTATTCCTTAGACCTCGTTCTGCATTTTATTTCTGTGTCTTTCTTTTTGTTATTATATCTTTGCTAATAGCTGGTTAACTACTTGTATTCATTCATACGCACCATGTGTTTGATATTTGTGCATGACTGTAATTTGTTGATTGTGCTTTGGCGTGCGTGTATAATTTTGCAAAGAGCAAACTTTTTAGAGCAATGTATCTACTTCTTCCATCTCAAAATCAACTCTTCGGATGTACGGCTAACAAAGCCATAAATCTCAAACTGTAAGTGAAGGCTGGAAGGTAAGCAACCGAGCCCGCATAGTCTCACAATAACTCCATAAAACACAGTACATCTGGTTTGATCAGGTCAATTCGATATACATGTCTAGGAACGTCTAGACAATTCACTGAGCCTTAGCTTGCCCCTATCTGCCTACTACCCTAAACTACTCTGCCAACAAAGCTGTTACAGTGAAAATTCATAGGCAGCTAATTCGATATATATTAATCATATCTTTATCTCTTGTTTCACTAATGGGTAAAATTGCACCAAATATAGATATTTTGCCCTCCATTTCACTGGCATATTATGCACAAGTATGTGCTATACCTCAGCTTTTGGTTGTTGGTTACTTGTGCTTAATCCCCTTTCACAATCCTTCTCTTTTCTTGCACCTGCTGCCTACATGCTATTTGCGATTTGCACCGGAGCCAAAAGGTAGTTGCTTGTTCGTGCTTTGATAGGAAATGATAGTGAAAACCCCGAAAACACTTTCCAAGCCTAAGTACTGCTCCGATTTATAATCTTAAAACATTGACAACCCTGCGTACGTCAGCATGTCGCCCACATAAATTCGGTCCGTTCCTTTGTGGGTACGGTTTCCCGATAAAACGAGAAATGTACGCAATTATGTTAAGAGTTTTAAGCTTGAGTAAACGTCATGGTTTCAAATATTGTCTGGCACATAAGACTGAAAAATTACGAATAAAGATAGGAGGAAGCCGTAGGTTTACTGGAGGCACAGTGCATCTTACAGAGTATGGCTAAATTCTTCGTAGCAGATAGCAGGAAGTAAGAGGAAAAAGTAACTCTAGAGATGCCGCTGCTTTCTTGCGATGAAGAACAAATGTGACTTATGAGGAAGTACGCATTGTAAACTTTTGGAAGCAACATTCTTTGCAGTAAAAGCAGGATGACATAGAAAGATGAGAATAACAATAACAGGGAACAAACACAAAGACACTTCAAATTCAGGCAGTTCTTTCAAATTTGCGATAGTCAGGACACCGCTGGCATTGGATACTTGAAGTATGCATACATGAGATCAATTAACATCACCCGGCAGAATCACTTTCGGTATCTACCATCCGGTGCCTGAAAGCGAGACGACGACTGGCAGCGTTGACTGGGATTCGCTCACTCGTGGCCTAGTACACGGGGTAGCCCAGTGCATGACGCTGTACACACAAAATTAAACTGTAAGTTAACAATGTTCCCTCGCCCTACTGAAAGTTAAGTTCATGCACGATTCGGTGTGGAGTAGTCCCTTTCTACCCATTCCTTACCCATCAAACGGAGTATAACAGAATACATCACCGTTACCATAAATCGGAACTTGTTAATTTGCTAAGCTAAGTCGCCCTTTAATTAATAACAAAAAATATCTTTATAATCTATTGCAAACTAGGACAGCTTTTCACACATTAATATAGCACATTTTATACTAAATATATTAGTAAACATTTAATTACGCGGTTTCTGATGGTCAGAACCTTTTCACGTTTCACGTTCACTCTTGGCTGGCCAGCCGAAAAACGACGCCCGGATGCCAGCTGGCGGGCTTGGGTTGAGTCGATTCCAGCGAAAGGTTCGAGGACAGGACTCCAGGACGTGGTGGACTTCCGCATGGTGCTACTGCATATTTAATAACACTGCGACGTGGTGGATGAGACCCACATTAACTAAAATTATTGCGTACTAACTTTTCGGAGTATCTAACTTATCCAAATGGAGTAATTCCTTTGATCCATTCCTAGGAAAGTCAACTCAGCGAAACTGTTCATATATTCAGAGTCACATAAAGTAATTCATTCAAATTGGTTTCTTAAGCATACACCTGTTAGACGATATCCGGCTTCTGATTTACCTATCACCGCGGCTTTCATGTTTACATTTATAAATACGATATGTTACTGGTTAAATTGTAATATTTCATCATATTCCCCTTTAAGGCGTGCCTCGCACTGTCAATAATAAACAATTTTCATTCATTTACTCATTTCGGAGCGAAATCGGGTCTGAGTATTTATCGAAATTTTAACATTTACATGAGACCTAGCATGTCCGCAATCAGAAAAAAGCCCTTTCCTAACGAAGCAACTAGTATCTTCGGCTACCCACAAATGTTATATTCCACGCAGAGGATAGAGCATATGATATGTTTGTACCGGCAGCGCATCATTCAAAGAGTGCAACAAGTTTATCGGAATTGAAAATGTGTTACAAGAACACCTTTTAACGCATTGAGCTCTATATGATAGCCATCTGGCCGAGTACTGCTAGCCATTTGGGAACTCATTGATCTGCTGAACGCACTATGTTTCAATACGACAAGCTAGTTGAAATGATTGATAATTGGTAAATGTTACTTGGTTGATGCGTAGATGTGGGTAGATTAACTGCAGTGCGCTTTTTTAAAATCTGTAAATTGTTGAAGTAAATGGCCAGATTACTATGAGTTCATGGACATCGCCAAACCAAATATTACATCACCACAACCAATTTGTCGCAACTTCCATCAGTAGATTGTAAACAGAGATTATACTCCCGAATGTCATGTTAAATAGTTGTTAGGCAATGCAGTTTTTCATTCCAAGCAAATAAACAGCTAACATGCCCGCTTAACAAGAAAACTTTAATCACGGTGGGAGTAATGGTACTTATGCTAGTCAATGTCCATGATATTACTGAGGACAGTGATCACCAAATTACGACGATAGCTTGAGTTTTTCCTTGAGCATGTTTAAATAAACCTGTTTTTACTATTAAAATATCATGGAAATCGACAACTGTAGATGATATAAGCCGTTATCTGTCAACCCCCGACACATAAACTAAAAGCAACCTTCTGTCGGACTGACTATTTTGCATAAGAGGCATTTGTTCATTACGCCAACATAAATACGCGTAGAAAATATAGGCTAAAACGAGACCCCAATAGGGCGAAACGCGTGTCTGGTGCTTTTCCGGATTGGTAGCTTACCTATGCGGCTTAGAATCTAATTACGATGAAGCAACATGAATCATACCGAAATTCGTTTACACATTCGTAATCGAAAATCTAATCCCTACCGGTATTCAAAACTGCTGTGTGGCTTCACGGCGCTGGCAAGGGAAGACCTGACAGTGACGGCCAACCACTGTCTTCTGCACGGGCAATAACCTGCACGGCAGTGGAAGATGGGTCGGGCTATATCGTAGTTAGGTTTCAATTCGTAATGGTTGATCGTCTTCTCCCATGGCTCAGTGGCATATGCTGCTGGCTAGTTGGCGTTAGCCTCTAACAGTCATGGGTTAGATTTCCAGTAGGGGACAGATGGATGCGCGCGACTGACGAGCCCCAATGGGGCGAAACGGGCGCCTGGTGCGTTTCTGAATTGGTAGCTTACATTTGCGGCTTGGAATCTAATTGCGATGAAACAACTTGAAACAGCAAAATTGCCAGCAACTCGGAAGGCGCACTTTTTAAGCGTATGACACAATAAGTGGACTAGACCATTGTTTTGTTGATTAAAGTAATGAATGCACGCCATTTACGTGTATAGCTCAAGGAAGCAAAATGGCCTAAAGCGCATACACCTTACCAATAATATATTAGAAAGGCATGGTTTCTCCACCACAATTTACGTGTAACTAGCTGCTTGGTCAGTAGGAAGTCGTTTACATACATCCCGGACTACACCCTGGGCCCATGTAACTTGATATTCTGCAATTCGGTTAAACGATATGAAAAGTTTGTGTTAACCCATAGCGAGTAAAAAACCATTGCTCCATAAGTACGGTGGGACGACCTAACTGAAAATGA